TCACATAAATTGAATCATATGAGCCTTTTGTCACTGGCTTCTTTTTTTGTTTGTTTGTTTGTTTTGAGACGGAATTTCGCTCTTGTTGCCCAGGCTCGAGTGCAATGGTGTGATCTCGGCTCACCGCAAGCTCTGCCTCCTGGATTCAAGCGATTCTCCTGCCTCAGCCTCCCGAGTAACTGGGATTACAGGCATGCACCACCACACCTGGCCAATTTTGTATTTTTAGTAGAGATGGGGTTTCTCCAGGTTGGTCAGGATGGTCTTGAACTCCTGACTTCAGGTGATCTGCCCACCTTGGCCTCCCAAAATGCTGGGGTTACAGGCGTGAGCCACCACGCCTGGCCTATGTTTTTGTGTTTTTGAGAAGGAGTCTTGCTCTGTTGCCCAGGCTGGAGTGCAGTGGCATAATCTCAGCTCACTGCCATCTCTCCACCTCCCGGGTTCAAGAGATTCTCCTGCCTCAGCCTCCCAAGTAGCTGGGATTACAGGCACGTGCCACCCTGCCTGGCTAATTTTTGTATTTTTAGTAGACATGGGGTTTCACCATGTTGGGCAGGCTAGTCTTAAACTCCTGACCTCAGCTGATCTGCCTGCCTCGGCCTCCCAAAGTGCTGGGATTGCAGGCGTGAGCCACCGCGCCCGGCCTTGGTTTCTTTCACTTAGTATAATGTTTCTAAGGGTCACCCCTCTTTGTAGCGTGCAACTACTGGGTTCTTTTTCATGGTTGATTCATATTGCCTTGTGTGAATATACTACGTTTTGTTTATCCGTTCATCCATTGATGGACATTTGAGTTGTTTCCACTTTTTGGTTTTTATGAATAATGCATCTAAGAGCATTTATATGCATGTTTTTCTGTGAACATGTGTTTTCATTTCTCTTGGATATATACCTAGGAGTAGAATTGCTGGGTCATATGGTAACTATGTTTTTGTTTTTTTGTTTTTTTTGTTTGAGATGGAGTCTCACTCTGTTGCCCAGGCTGGAGTGCAATGTCATGATATCGGCTCACTGCAACCTTCTCTTGCCTCCCGGGTTCAATTAATTCTCCTTACCTCAGCCTCCTGAGTAGCTGGGATTACATGTGCCTGCCACCACGCCCGGCTAATTTTTGTATTTTTTAGTAGATACAGGGTTTCGCCATGTTGGCCAGGCTGGTCTTGAACTCCTGACCTCAGGTGGTCTGCCCACTTTGGCCTCCCACTAGTGGCTGGGATTACAAGTTGTGACCTACAGTGCCCGCGGCCAACTCCATGTTAACCTTTTTTTTTTTTTTTGGACCAGGGTGCTCACCTCTTGTTCCCAGTGCGGAGTGGCAGTGGCCAATCATGGGCTCCCCTGGCAGCCTCGAACTCTTGGGTTCAAGTGAATCCTCCCAACCTCAGGCCTTCAATAGCCAATTGGGACTACAGGTGTAAGCAACCACACCCTGGCCTAATGTTTTTATGTATTTTCGTGATAATGGAGTTTTGCATGTTAATCTAGGCTGATCTCGAACTCTGGGCTCAAAGTGAATCTGCCCATCCTTGGCCTCCCAAGTGGCTCGGGATTACAGGCGTGAGCCACCACGCCCGACCCAGACTTTTTGAATTCTAGAAGTCAAACCGAAGGTCGCCATCCAAAGAGGCTCTGAAGCTGCTGGACCAAAAGCCCTAAGGCTGTAGGACACCACCTTGGCTCAGCGCCTTCATCTTGCAGAATGCTGGCAGGACACGAGGAGGGGGTTGGCTTGCGCAGGGCCACATAGCCTGTGGGCGCCAGAGTTTGGGTCGCAGTTTTAGTTTCCTACGCTCGCTCTAGGGTCCTCACCCCAGCTGGGCCCACATGTGGCTCCAAACCTCGCAAATTCCAACTGC